TGTTCACATTTTATTCTAAGAATTTTTTTATTATAAAGTGATTCTTATATTACTAAGTTGTTTTGATTTCAACTTTGCTATTTTGTTTGATTTCAAGCTTTTGTCACAATTTATGATAATAGCATAAGATCTGGAATTTTAAAAACCTGACCTTGAGTACTGACTCCAAAATGTAGTAGCAATATAACTTTGGATGTGTTTAGCTTTTGAATATCAATGTTGAATCTATAACAGAGATATAATAATATCAAAATTAAACTGTTGTGATATATTGAACACTATAGGCTATAGCAATCTAGCTATACATTGTTATTTTTCCTCTTTGTTTACCATTGACTTCCTGCCACAGCATACATCCTACTTCTCTTCTAACCCTTTCTTTATCTTTTTTGGTGCTCTCTTATTTTTCCTCCTATATATTAAACTGGTGTTCAAAAAGAGATATTTTCTTCTGTTTAGTAAAATGGACTAAGAGTAGTGATGCTTAAGGAAGAATAGTAATTTAATAATTAGTTTTCCAGTTGCCATCATGTTGATTCTGACTCATGGGAACCCCATGTGTTACAGAGTAACTGCATGCCATAGTGTTTTTACGGCTACGAACTTTCAGAAAGATTGCCAAGGCATTTCTTCACAGGCTTTGCTGATAGGGTTCGAACTGACAATCTTTCAGTTAGTAGCTGTGTATTGGGTCATCACAAGCCAGGGCTGACTTGATAGCAGTTAACAATACACATGCACACATAAGCATACACACATACATTTGTAATTTTATTAGCTAAAAGCTAAAATGTATCAAGGACAAGCTGTGTATCAGATACTTCTCTGGGTACTTTTCATGTATTAGCTCATTTAAATGTCACAACATCAATTAAGGGAGTGAGGTACTATTATTATCCCTATTTACTGCTGAGGAAAACAAGATAATTAAAGTCATACCAAGGGAAAGAATACAGTAGAGATTTGAACCCAGATTGTCTGAAACCAAAGCCTATGAACTCAATGGCTAAACTATATTGCTTTCTCTGGAGGTTGGGATTAAAAATGGTATTCTCCCCTAGGAAACTGAGTTTCCAGTGGGTTAGACAAGCCATTTATTGATAATACACGAAGCAAAAATTACTCCAACAGAAGCATGAAGTTCTTCTGAAGTCCAGAGGGACTTCAGAGAGGAAATGATACTTGAAATACAACGCAAATATTGAAAGAAAGGGGGATACAGTTTTTATTAAGAAACAAAACTGACAAATATGTGGTTTAACCACACTTACATGTGCTGTAAAGGAACAGTTGCAGGTTACACAAGAATTTGTGTCTGGCTGACAACCATTTGTCATTTCAGACTTTTTAAAAAACTTAATATACATGGAATCATGCTATAGTCTTTTGGGCATCTTTGCTCACGAGTGACTTTTTTTATTTTTTAAATTCCATATATCCATGCACATGCAATGTTCAGAACAGACAAATGTACAGAGATAGAAAGTAGGCTAATAGTTTCCAGGGGCTGAGGTGAGAAGAGAATGGAGAGTGATCATCCACTAAACAGGGGCCCCCTCTAGGAACTATGAAAATGTCCTGGAATTAGGTAGAAGTGATGGATGCTACAACCAGGAACTCACTAAATGCTGCTGAATTGCATGCACACTTTAAAATGAACAATGGGTAATTTTATTTTATGTGAATTTTACCTCCACTAAAAAAAAAAAAGGGGGGGGGTAGCACAGATAGCCGTTGGCCCAGACCATTAGTTTGATCTCATTGATTTTGGAGGGATAAGACCAGCGAGGCAAGGGAGAAGGGAGATACTGTGGAATCACAGAGGTTGAGGGGTGAACTAGCTCTTTCAACTCAAATTAGAAGCAGGACTGACAGATGTGATAGGAGATGAAGGAAGAAAAAGCCCTGAGATGGGAAGAAGGGCAGTGAGTTCTGCTGCTCCTTTCCTGTGTAATACTGCATCTAATTTTTCTCTCATTTGGGCCTCAATCTCCCTAATTCTTACGGGTAGTGATAACACTAAGTTATATAAGATGCTTCTTGACCCTGAAACCCTAAGGATTTTATCATCCTTTAACAGTGAAAGCCATCTAGGAATGAATGGAGACCACAACAGTCTGGGTGGAGGAAAGACTACAGAAGGGACTTACCAAAGGGAAGGGTGAGGAGGAAGGTGCTGAGGAAGCCTCCACTGATTTATTCTGTACAGAAACAGGAACTGGAGGGAAGAACCTTAAAGTGTTCTGTGTTCCTTCTCCCCCTCTACAGTGTGGCAGGAAGCAGAGCTGGTAGAGAAAGGACAGTGTTCTTAGACCATTCTCCTAGGCCATGAGGTAGATACCTTCTAGGGCCTTGGGAGCAGCCTAAAGAGAAATTCTTCACCATTGTGGTCAAGAAGAGGAAGAATTTGGAGCTGTGATGCTTTCACCCATACAGAGGAGTTTTCCCAAGGAGCATGGAATAAAGGCCTCCTGCTCTTGAAGTTACCCTATGCATCCAGGAAGTGGCAGGGTGGAAGGCAGCTAGCATCTCCAAGTGGCTTGGGTCATGGAGGACAGAGTTCATGATTGGGTATACAGTAGCAACCTTAGGGGTGAGATATCCCTGCATGTGGGTGTCCCTGATGAAAGAGTAGGAAATGAGGGTTGCCAATGTGGGTGAGGTCTCTGTATCTCTGAATCTTGTGCATGACAGCATATATCTAAGGCATTTTGGCCCCATCATCAAGGACTGGAAGGGGATGTGGACTGGTCATCCTGTTGATCTCTTTGTAGACTTTCTCTGGACGATGAGTTTCTTAACAAGGAGGAAAAGCATACAAACAGAGGATGGTGCTGGAAGTCACAGTACCAAGGAAGAAAAGCAAGAGGACCATGTGGAACAGATCCTTCTGGTAGAACTCCACAGGAAGGGAGCATTACTGGGTGAGAGCTAATCCTCATTGTCTCCAGATTTCCAGTTTCTGTGTCTTCTTTCTGACCTGTCCATTCCCATGATGTCCTGTGCAAGTTTTCTTTCTTTTTTTTAAATTTGTTATTTTTTAGGAGCTCTGGTAGCATAGTGGCTAAGGCACTTGACTGCTAACCAGAAGGCTGGTGGTTCAAACCCACCAGCCACTCCTCGGAAGGAAGGTTGGGCAATCTACTTACGTAGTGATACTGCCTCGGAAACCCAAGGAGGGGTCGCTATGAGTCGGGGCCGACTTGACGGCAAACAACAACAACAACAACACTATTATTTTCCTTCCTTCCTTCCTTTCTTCCTTTCATATTCAAGACCAACAGAGTAGGAAAAAGGATGGACTCTGGAGCCAGACTGCTTGGGTTCAAACCCAGGCCCTATTGTTCACTAGCTTTGTGTCTTTGGGAAAGAATTTAACCCCTCTATGCCTTAGTTTTCTCATCTGGAGTTGTTTTGATATATTCATCAGTGGATTTTTTATATTTATGTTTTTGCATGTAGTAATGAGCAAAGTGCTTCATCATATGAACATACTAGAATTTATCTATTTCACAGTTGATGAAATCTGTGTTGTTGCCATTTTGGGACTATTGTGAATAATAATAATAAAAAACCCAAAACCAAACTCACTGCAGCCGTGTGGGGTCCGACTCACAGTGACCCCTCCTTGAGTTTCCGAGGTGGTATCACTACGGAAGTAGATTGCCTAATGTTCCTTCCGAGGAGTGGCTGGTGGGTTTGAACCACCAGCCTTCTATGAATAAAGATGCTGTTAATTTTTTATGTCTTTCTTTGGAAGCACATATATAATTATTTTTTGTTGATACCTGAGTGGAGTTGCTGATTTATATTGCCTGTGTTCAGCTTTAGTAGTGATTACCAGTTTTCCAAGGGGGTAGTTTTCAAATATACTTTCTCTAGCAGTATATGAGAGTTCTCATGATTTTTACCAGGATTTCTTGGTAGAAAAGGCTGAAGAAAAGGGTTCTTTCCCCTAGTGGCATCTGAAAGAAGGTGACTATTATTTAGGCACACAATGATGAAGAGCTGAGGTTCTGGAGTCAGATGGAGTTCAGTATAAATTCTAGTCCACCTATTACTAGAAATGAGTGGCCACTTTATCTTTAAATTGCTCTGAGTTATCTAGGACAAAAAAAAATGACATATCAGATAGAGTTTTTCTGATATTAATTTTTTTTCCCTAGGTAAAAGAGTAAGGAGTTCTGGTAGCATAGTGCTTCAGGCATTAGACTGCTAACCAGAAGGCTGACGGTTCAAACCCACCAGCCACTCCTTTGAAAGAAGGTTGGGCCATCTACTTCCATAGTGATACTGCCTTGGGAACCCAAGGAGGGGTCGCTATGAGTCACAGCTGACTCAAGGGCGGTGTGTTGTGTTTTGTTGTAGGTAAAGGAGGAAGCGAATGGGTTGAGTAATTCCACCTCACAAATATTTATTCAATACCAATTGTGTTTTAGACAATGCTTAGAGTAGTTCACATGTAACATTGCTTTCAATCTTCATAACAAACTTAAAAGAAAGGTGCTAACATACATTACACCATGTTGTGATATGTATCTACATATAATGTATATAATAATATATCTGTGTAATTGATAAACTGAAAATCCTGAGGTTAGGGATTATATTTTATTCATAGTTATCACTCTCAGACCTAGTACAATGCTTCCCCCAGAATAGGTACTTAATACATTAATCTGAAATGAGTGAAATAGTGAATACATGAATAGAATTGTAGCTCTCAGTTAGACAACTGTAGAACACTTGTAATCTGGGGAAAAGGTAATATTTATTCAGAGCTTTATGACAGGAAAGGAAGAAGAATCAATCGTTGGACAATATTGCCATGGCAATAGAAACTACGCTGGAGATTACATGATAGAATTTTGCAAAACCAGTTAATTATTCATTGTAAAAACCTTTTGTTCAACAAAACAAATGGTTACTATATACATGGACCATTCTGATGTAATATAGGGATCAAACTGACTATATCTGTGGAAAGGCAATTGAAGAAGCTAAACATCATCAGTCAGAAAAGTCCAGGGGCCACTATGGAACAGACCATCAAATGTTTATATATAAGTTCAAAGTAAAACAAAAAAATTAAAACATCCCACAAGAATTAAGGTACAACCTTGAGTATTTCTCATCTGAATTTAGAGACCATCTCATGAATAGATTTGATGCATTGAGCATAAAGGACAACAAACCAGATGAGTTGTGGGATGACATCAAGGACA